AATTACAATAATTTTTTACTTACCTTTAGAATTAAATTCATATCTAAATAAAACTGATCTATAAGAAGATTTAAATGTTTTTAGAAAAATTATTCCACAAGAATCATCAGTTCCACATATGCTAAAATTTCTATTTTGAAATAATCTATCAAAAATTTAACCCTTTGTTATACAGCCTATGTAATACTCTTAATATCTTCAGTAATAGTTGTGTTGAAGAAAGAGCCTCCTTAAAATTAAAACTTATTAACAATTATTTGCAATCCTGCATTTATTTGCTAAGAGCAACAGACACTGCTTTCAATTATATTGAATGAAAACGAAGTTGCTGGGGCACCTGGGTGGCTCAGTCGGTTAAGCGCCCGACTTCAGCTCAGGTCAGATCTCATGGTTCGTGGGTTTTGAGCCCCACATCTGGCTCTGTGCTGACAGCTCAGAGCCTGGAGCCTGTTTTAGATTCTGTGTCTCCCTCTCTCTGCCCCTCCCCCACTCTTGCTCTGTCTCTCTCTGTCTCAAAAATAAACTATAAAAACATTTTTTTTAAAAGAAAATGAAGTTGGGGCGCCTGGGTGGCTTAGTCAGTTAAGCGTCCGACTTTCGCTTAGGTCATGATCTCACGTTCGTGGGTTCGAGCCCCGCGTCGGGCTCTGTGCTGACTGCCAGCTCAGAGCCTGGAGCCTGTTTCAGTCTGTGACTCCCTCTCTCTCTGACCCTCCCCTGCTCACGCTGTCTCTTTCTCTCTCTCTCCTAGAAATAATAAATTAAAAAAAAAAAAAGAAAAGAAAATGAAGTTGCTACAAGTATACATTTTGAAGTCCTAAGAAATGAATTTGCAGGAAAGCAAGCAGAAAAATCATATTAGCAGTCAAGATATTATGTTACTAAAATACCATTTATTGGATGTATAAATTATAACACCAAAAAATTAATTGCATTTGGTAAGATTATGGTGTTATTTATGTATCACTATAACCCCCCATTGCATTTTGTTAGTAATACATTTTTTTAATAAAGTTTACTTATTATAAGAGAGAGTGAGAGATATCGTGTGCTCACGTGAGTGGGGGAGGAGCAGAGAGATTGAGAGGGAGAGAGAGAGAGAATCCCAAGCAGGCCTCTTGCTATCAGTGAGGAGCCCGATGCAGGCCTCAAACCCATGAACCATGAGATTATGACCTGAACTGAAATCAAGGGTCGGAAACTTGACCAACTGAGCCACCCAGGCACCCCAGTAATACAATATTTTTTTAAATGAAAGGCTTTATACCTTAGTACATTTAGTGCACCTTTTTTCTGCATTATTACTCACACTGGGCCCCACAGATTATGTAGCCAGCCCTGTCTGCTCTAGCTTGCTTTTCTACTCCAGGCCCCACTCGACGCTGGTGGCCTTCTGTGCCACTCAGTATACAGCTGAGGCAGAATTCCTAGGTAGAAGAGGTTGCATACCGAACACACAAAGGTAGAATGAGTACTGTGCTTCCTTCTTTGTAGTAATAAAAGACAAGATGCATTGTCTCTTACTTTGGAGACAATGACCTGACCCCCTGCACCCCTGCAATCCCTACAAATCCTGAAGGAAAAAGTGCCTGAATTTTCAGAGTCCATCTCCCACTCTCCGGGGCACACACGTCCTATCGGAGATTGCAGCATGTGAGCTGCCTCTTGTTCGTCCCGCCTATTCAGTGTGTCATCGGTGCGATGGACAGATATGACATTCTGCAGGATGCCCAGACGTCTAGATCTGTACAGACTATGGCATATCGTTGTAAGAGAGCTTCTAAAATCCCTGACCTGTTAATTCCTTCATCTGTGTCATTTATTATGTTTCTATTGACTGATTTTTCCCTGGTTATGGGTCACATTTTCCTATTTGGGATCCTGTGTAGTAATTTATTTTTATTGGATGCAGGATATTATGAATTTCGTATTGTTCAGTATCTAGATTTTGTAGTTTTATTTTTAAGGATGTGTGTCCTTCTTCTGGCAGACAAGTTAAGTTTCTTGCAGATCAGCTTGATGTTTTGAGACTTGTATTTAAAGTTTGTCATTGCAGGTGTACAATACTTTCCACTCATGGTGAAAGCGGCCCCACTACTAAGGTATGACTTTTTCGAGTTCTCTGCTGAATACCCCCCAGTGATCAAGGAAAACTCTTCTGGATGATTGAATCTCAAATATTTCCACCGAAAATTCATACATCTCTTTGGTTATTCATTGCCTATCTTATGATGCCTTCACCCTACACATGCACATCTTAGTACTCAACAATACCTCAAAAGGGTATCTGTGCAGATTGATGGAACTTTTCCTTCTCTTTGCAACTTTGCCTCACAACTTCCAAGTACCTCAGCCTCCCCCAAACTTAATCTGTCCCCTCAACTCATCTTCATTGTATACGGAGTCCTCTCTCTGGCTCCCTGGTTCAGAATGTGGCTCCAGGCTAAAAGGGGTCAATTGTTTCCTTCTCACACAGGGATCAGAGTCCTGCACTGCCCATTGTCCATGGTGTGAAAACATGTATTTTGTCCTGTTTCCTCGTTGTTTATGGCCCTGTTACCGCATTATAGTCAGAGAAGGAGGTCTTAAGGTTATCAAAAATGTAAGTGAAAGATATTTTTACTTCAAAGTCATGATAAAAAGTAGTGTTGTCATAAAGAAAGTTTAGTGGGAATTTTTCAAATAATAGCTGTGTTTGATCCATTTTTGCTTAAGGTCTAGGAAAAAATAACATTTTAAAGAGTGACTTATTGGGGTACCTGGGTGGCTCAGTCAGTTAAGTGTCTGACTTCAGATCAGGTCATAATCGCACAGTCTGTGAGTTCAAGCCTCACGTCGGGCTCTGTGCTGATAGCTCAGAGCCTGGAGCCTGCTTCCGATTCCGTGTCTCCATCTCTCTGTGCCCTCCCCACCCCCCTCTTTCACACACACACACACACACACACATAAACATTAAACATTTTTAATAAAAATATTATGTTTAAAAATTTTGTATTTGTAATTTGCAATATTTTTCAACTTTAAAAATCAATAATACAGGTATTTTTTTCTTAGTCTAAATAATCACTTTGCACCTAATTTTGTATTTGTAATTATTATTCTTTTTAAGGAGACACCCGTGCCAAATTGTATACATACAAGTTTCATGGCCCGCAAAACCTGGATTTGTTCCTGTTATCATCATCTCTCTCCACTGAATTGTTCTACCTTTATCCATCTTTGTCCTCTTCTAATCTGTATACCACAGCATAAAGGATCTTATAAAATTTACATATGATATTTTTTCTCTCCTACTCTTCCAGTGATTTCCCATCAGCTTTAAGCTGAAGACCAAAATCCTTTACATAGCATCTGGTTCCTGTCTACTCCTCTCCTCTCCCTCTGCTCCAACTACACTGGCATCTTTTAGTTCTTTGAATGCACCACCTCAGGACCTTTGCACATGCTGTACTGTGCCTTGGAGATGTTCTACCACCCCACTATTCCATTAACAAATCATCCCCTATTTAAACTTCACATGGCCACTGAAAGTTTACTTCCTTAGCGTATCAAAAATTCGGTCAGCCCCCCACCTCCTTAAATGCTCATTGCACTTTTTACTTTTCCTTCACAGAATGTCTCATTTGTAATATACTTCTGTGATCATTAGACTTTATCTCTCTGCAACTAGACTGCAAGTTCCAGGTGCCTAGCATCTAGAATAAAGTTGGCACCTAATCATAAAATCTCTACCATCAAACAGTTTATAATCTAAAATTGAACTAAGAACAGCGATACAATCTTACAGTTTGGGACATGAAAACAGGTTCTTTTTTTCCGTGCCAGAAGTCTTCCTGGAAATCTTGATTTCCCAGGAGTTATTGCACCAGTTTGCAAAATGAGCCCAGTTTGAGGCTGTTACCCAGTTCCATGGCCATCTGGGAATTACTTTCACCAGATTCCCAGCATTATTTTTCTTGCAGTGGAGCTTGACTTCATTTTGTAAAGATTCTCTTGCCTCCCCTAAATCTATTTAAAAGAAAAAAAAGCAACACTTCCTCTTGCATAAGCCTTATAGTTGTACACGTGACATTTCAAAGTACTTCCACAATTGTTTTTACCTCATAATAGCATAGTGCTTTCACGAGTTTTAAAACACTTTTCATGCGATGGTCCAGCTTAGAGAAAACACACTTTGTTAGGAGCCAGTTGTTCAGAGTTGGAAATAAGCCTTGACCCTTCACCTCTCCAGGGGTAATTGTGTTTTTATAGACTTCAGCAGGGGCTTGAGATAAAGCTGTTCTAGAGCTACCACAGAAATATTTAGAGCCCTCATTTCACGGAATTTTCCCCCCTAAACATTACTTAATGTGGTTGGGTGACCATGTTTCTGGGGTTTTGTTTTTGTTCAATGTGCATATCCTTCAACATCTTCTAAGAGGGCTTTCGAAAATTCACCAAGGAATACTAGGGTAAATATTCAAAAACTCGCTAAGGAATATTAGGCTGTCAGGATATCCCTAAATCGTCTGCCTGTTAGAAATCATGTTATCAGCTGAGGCTTGAAATAAAGAAAGCTAACTTGGAATCCAGCTCCAAATTTAGTAGGTGAGTGATAGAGAAAAATAGAAATGATTAGATATAAGGCCCTCAGTAAGTGTCTCCTGACTCGGAGATTAAATATGATAGAGCCGACTTCGCCCACCAGCTAATCTTACTACCTGGTAGGTACATTCCTCCCTTCTCTTAATCGCCTCCTGGGAGCTGATTCTCTCCTCCGTTTGATCTTATCTTTTCTCCATTTTAAACCTTCCACCAACCATTCAGATCCACGTCTCCCGAAAACCCAAGCCCAGCCTGAGAATGCAGCAAGAGCAGCACCCGCTCTCGAACCTGTTTTCCGTCGCCCTAAACCCACTTCCGGTTTCCGGCCGGCTGGTCCGTCCTCCCTCCCCTTCCGGCCGCAGTCGCACCGGGTCTCTCTTCACGTGACTGCTCGGCGTGCTCCGCCTCCTGGTCCCGGCTCACGTGATCGTGCTAGGGGAGAAAACGCCTGACCCCAGCCCCGGGCCCTTATCCGTGCAATCCCTTTCTTCCTGCGGGTCCTCCGCCTCTTGCCCTTCAGACACCTGCGCGTCCCTCCACTCGGTCCCGGGGCCACACCGGCGCCCTGTCCGCCATGTGGCTCCTGCCTCTGGCCCCAACTGGGCCCCGGCGGGACAACCCCCGTCACCTGCCTTCCTGCAGCCCAGCGCTGCTGCTGCTGCTGGGCAGCTGCCTGGGGGTCCCTGGGGTGGCGGCGGGCTCTCGGAGGCCCAATGTGGTGCTGCTCCTCACCGACGACCAGGACGAAGTGCTCGGCGGCATGGTAACTCTTCTATTTCTGCCCCGCCCCTCCATCTCCCGGGCTGACCCCCCGGTTCCTTGTCGTCTTTCGCCGTCCCCACCCCAGTTCCCTCCGCTGGCTGCCTTCCCCCGGGATAGGTTTGCTTCTGCCACGCCAGACCCCCTTACGCGAGTTTCGGGGCCGCAGGACTCTACTTCCTCTTTCTCCCGCGTCTCTCTCGCGTCTCGTTGAGTAGACACCTGCACGCACCGCACGGAGCTTCTAGTCTGGACCTCGGTGCTGCGGGCTTCGCGTTTATAGCTCAAAATAAACCTGTGGACGCCAGTTAGGGACGGGCTGAACCAACCCGGAGCAGGTGCTGGCCAAAAGCACACAAACTTTTATTGCTCTTCTTTTGCTTTAGAGGATCAGAACCCTCTCTGTGAAGGACCTAGGCCACCTCTGTATTTGTCCCTGTGTACAATGTCTGCGCCTGATATTTATTTCTAAAACAAATGCGGAAATGAACTAATCTGGTAGGTAGGTGGTCGAACTGCTCAGGGTGCCTTTTGCCTCACAGGAATCAAGAAAATTCAATTAGCTTAATTGAACACCTGGCTGATGCATTGGCTACTCCTGTCTGTGTTCCATTTTAAATGCGTTTTGTCACAAGACTTCGTTCTTCCCAGAGTTAATCTTGCTTCTGTAACTTAGAGATCTGGAATTTACGACCTTCAGGAGCATTCACCCAGACCCCTAGTCATTAGAGGCCCCAGAGAGTGGCTTTCCCAAGGCGCTCAGGGCAGAATCCTGATGAGTGCTCTGATCCTGGATATGGCATTTCTCTTATTTATTTATTTTTAAGATCTGCTTTATTTCTTTCTTCCTTTCAGTTCTCTTTTTGCTTTCAGCTAAATGCTGAGACTATGAGAACACTTCAGGCAAGAGGTTCCTAACTTACACTGTGTGGGAACTCCCTACCTCACTGTCCTTCGGACTGCTGACTGCAACCCATAAGTGAGTTGTGAAATCAGTTTAGTGAGTAGCTACCAGCATTTTTACTTTCCTGTGGAATAAAGTAGAATAGAAAATGTCGGTGTGGCCTGTGTGGCAAAGGTTCACAGATCTATATGTGTATTTCTGGGTTATGAATTAAGATGTTATTTCTTACCCAGGGCTGCATTCGTGACTATGAGAATCTTTCCTAGTTGATGTTTAAGATACTTGCATTTTGACTTCTACACTTCTTTCTGCCACATATGCCTCATTGCCTTTTAGTTTCCACTCAGTCACATTGACATTGAAGAGTCTTGACTTAATTGCCCTCCTGGAATTTACTTTGTTCTTTTCATTCCAACCACTGCTCTTACCGTCCTCACAAAATTCCCTTTAAAAAAAGTTTTTTGTAGCCTTGAAAAGTATTTTATCTAGGAGCACCTGTGTGGCTCAGTTGGTTAAGCGTCTGAATCTTGATTTGGGGTCACGTCACGATCTCACATTTCCTGAGATCCAGCCCCAATATCAGGTTCTGTGCTATCAGCGCTGAGCCTGCTTTGGATTCACTTTCTCCCTCTCTCTCTCTCTGCCCTTCTCATACACGCTCTTGTGTGTTTGCGTGCACATTCTCTCTCTTTCAAAATAAATAAAAATTTTTAAATGTTTTGTCTAAAAACAGCAAGCCGTCTCTATCAACAATTGGTAATAGCGTAGTGACTAAAACAATTAAAAAGTCGAGCTTTCACATCTCTTTTGAAAACAAAACTTTACCACTGAAATGTAAGGTGTTCAAAATTGAGTGTCTTAATTCTTAGGGACCACAGATATGGTCTGTATATATTTGAGTTCTCTTCAATTGTGAACTCAATTGTGTTCATTGTATTTGCTTCTTTAAACCAGTAGCAGATTCTTTTTATAGGTGTCTATACTAGAGAGACAAGCCAAAATTGAGTGGAGGGCACAAGACAAATTTAGTACTTCCAACTCCGTGGGGTTTTCTGGGTTCTTTTAGCCTTTTTTCAGGATATTCTACCACTGGTTGTCAAACAGGACTTGAAGGGAAAGCCCTAAGACAGTAGCAGCATTTGAAAATCTACCGGGAGCCAGTTAGAGTGTGAAGTATTAAACTTGTGCTTCAATCATTATAGGAATCCTCTACTGTAGGTGTTGTCCTTTCCTTAAATAAGAGGAAACTAGAACTGAGAGGGGGTTAAGTAACTTGGCCAAAGTTCATATAGCTTATAGCTAAAAAGGGGCAAAATCTGGTGTATTATCTCAGAGCCCCATTTTTCTCCTATTCTAGAACACTGTGATAATCGTGACTTACCAGATGCCCTTCGACATACCCACATCAGCATAGACACTTATACCACAGATAAGAGTTGCTTTAGATGATACTGAGGGACACCACTGGGGTCACGGAAATCCTTAATTTCCATGAAATTCGCTGTATTCTGTGGACAGAGTGAGGTCTCTGACCCAAAAACGATTATGAATTGCTGCCACGGTTGACAAAATAAACAGTAGTCCAGTCCACGAGACTAGCTCAGGTCAAAGATTATAGCACCTGTGTGATTGTTTCACGTAGAATCTTTCAGTCATCTTTGAAATCATCTTTTCTGCATCATCTGTAACATTTCACTTTATTTTTTTACAGGTGTCATCTGTGGGACTTTGGGTTTTTTGCTTAGGGAACAGTTCCTATTTCTTGATTTTACTTGGCTGTTCTTATACTGTGATGGACACACTGTTCTTCATAGAAGCACAGGTTACTCTTTAAAATCACTCACTCTAGAAAAGGTGACACTTGGTCAGCACTTCAAAGAAATCAAGGAAGGAGCCATGATGAATGTAGGAGACAACGTCACGTGTTTGAAGCAAAGTGGTCTTTAAAAGTGGTTGTTTAAAGAAAACTCAGCCACAGATTTTTTAGAATTGTTAAACCTTTATTTCAGAGCAGCTATACACAGGAACCAAGAAAGTAAATGACTCCTTGGGATTTTTATGGAAGGGATTTGCTTTGGATGAGTTAAAGTATTACACATTTACCCATATACTGGCATAAGATTGGCTGCTGCTTAAACAGTGTTGTACATCCGGGGCACCTGGGTGACTCAGTGGATTGAGCATCCGACTTTGGTTCAGGTCATTATCTCACTGTTCCTGAGTTCGAGCCCCGCATCAGGCTCTATGCTGACAGCTCAGACCCTGGAGCCTTTTTGGATTCTGTGTCTCCCTCTCTGTCTCTGCCCCTCTCCCACTTGTGTTTCTCTCTCTCTCTCTCTCTCTCTCTCTCTCTCTCTCAAAAATGAATAAACATTAAAAAAAAAAAAGTATTGTACATCCAGTACATCCGAAAATAAGTATTGACCAGCCTTCCAGCTGTCTTTTCTTACATTTTAAGGTTCTATTTTAGTATTCAGATTAGCATGGACGCACTTCTTCAATACAGTGTGGTTTCTTGTTAGGATTTGTTTGGGGCACCTGGGTGGCTTAGTTAAGTATCTGACTCTTGATTTCAGTTCAGGTCATGATACCAGTTTGTGAGTTCGAGCCCTGCATGGGGCTCTGTGGTGACTCTACAGAACCTGATTGGGATTCTTTCTCAGTCTCTCTGCCCCTCCCTGCTCACACTCTCTCTTTCAAAAAAAAAAAAAAAAAAAATTAAAAAAAAACCGCTTTGTTTGATTGAGCACAGATTATGGTTATCACTGTACTGGTGTTAGCAGTATAAAAATTATGGTCATTAATATAAATCTCTTCCACTAGAATCTGTGTTCCTGTGCAGCCCTGCATCATCCGCTGGCACTCGCCTGACGCTTTGACCTTGTCTAACATCACAGTCTCCTTCACTTGCTGTGCTGCTTCTGCCACATTCGCCTTCTTTCCATTCCTCAGTGTGCCTCTTTCCTTCTCTGGCAGCCCACATCCTTGCTATTCACTCAGCCTGGAAACACCTTCTGGAACTTTGCCTGGCTGACCTCCTTGTCATGTGACGCTGAGTACCAAAGCTACCTGCTGAATGAGGCTTCTCCTGACCACCCATCTAAAGTAGTTTCCCCTTTTCCTCCCACCAGCTGTAAGCACATCATCCTGATATATTCTGCTCGCAGTGCTTTTCACTGCGAAAAATGATTGTTTACCTGTTAGTTTAAGTCCCTGAGCACAAAGGTCATGAGGGCAAGGACCTTCTGTCTTTTATCCGTCATTGCCTAGATCAGAGCCTGACACATGTTAAGTGTTTTGAGAAGTAGGCTATAGTCACACAGTGTAGGGGCACGTGGGTGGCTCAGTTAGTTAAGCATCTGATTCAATTTCAACTCAGGTTGTGAGGTCAAGCCCTGTGTCAGGCTCTGTGCTGGGTGTGGAGCCTACTTGGGATTCTCCTTCTATCTCTGCCCCTCTGCTGTACGCACACATGTGCACTGTCTCTCAAAAAAAGTAAAATAAAATCACACAGTATAGTCTTCACTATCAATCAGATACTTTTCAGTAGTTTTGCATGTTTACCAGACAGTTTGAGGATTAAGTCCCATGTAATCAACTCACATAGTCCTTTTCCCCACTTTGTATTCTCATTTCCCCTCCCTGTGTCATCATAATGCAGATTTTTCATCAAACCCGCGTTTCATTCAGCCCAGTATTCTTTACCTAAAGGTAACACCCAGTGATGTTCTGTGGGAGACCATAATGGGTGACGTTGCCTCTGAAGATTAGTGAAGACCTTACATACCTATAACATTTTCTGGGAATCGATTATGGATCTACTCGTGAAATTATGGAAGTCTTCTTGAATAAGTTAGGATTCTCATCCTTTTGAGCTTACGGGTTCCTTAGATTTTTTACTATCTATCTAAATCAGCGGGAAAGAGTGATTAGTACAGCATTGTAAACAAGACCCTTGTTAACATATTTAGATTAAGAAATTATTACACATTAATATACTTAAAAATGCACAGAATATGGTCTTACATTTAAAAAGTACTTCAAAATCATAAACTGATTCATATAATACAACTAAATGGAGCCTCTTCAGTTGTCTTTTCCTTTTGTCTGGAATCCGAATAAAGATTGTTAGTGTTCCATTTATTTGTATTTAAATGACCTACTTTTTTTTTTTATGATTTGCCTTCATTTTATTTTTTATTTTTATTTTTTTTACAAATAGTTTATTGTCAAATTAGTTTCTACATAACACTCAGTGCTCATCCCCAAAGTGCCCTCCTCCATGCCCATCCCCCCCTCCCCCCCACATCCATCAGTCCTCAGTTTTTGTCAGCATTCAAGAGTCTCTCATGGTTTGCCTCTCTCCCTTTCCCCCACCATTATTTCCCCCTTTCTTCTCCCCCTTGTTCCTCCGTCAAGTTCCTCCTAATCCTCCTATACGTGCAAACATATGTTATTTGTAAATGACCTACTTTTATCCTCACTCTAGGATTTGAGATTAACTGTTGTCTCTACCATTTGCCACCTAGTTCAAGTCCTTACTTGGGCTCCACCACTGAATGTGTGATATTTGAGTCCTCTTCTGGGCCTCAGGGCTTTATCTGGCTTTTAGAACCTACGTGTTATTTCTCTTTTAAAGGGTGGAAGGCTCCTTTTATATCCTATCCCACAGCCTGCTTCTAAAGGTGAATTAATGGAGATCTGCCCTATCTATCTTGGAAGGGGGCTGGTAATGAATGAGAACACTGAAATTTCATCACCTTGAAATCAGCATTGTTAGGATAATGCTGTCAGCTGTGAACTTTCCCTTCCTGCAAGCATTAGGACCCTTTTGCAGGGGACGTAACTGAACCTGTTTGGTTCATCTCAAGAATCACACAGGAATCTTCTGGTGGTTTCTTAGTGTCTGATGGAGCCGATCATTGCGAGTAAGATGCAAAAACATGAGTTTTGGTCTGAGTGTTTTTGTTTATTGGAGGAAATGGTTTAACAGGTAATTATTTACTTTGCAGACACCACTAAAAAAAACCAAGGCTCTCATTGGAGAAATGGGGATGACCTTCTCCAGTGCTGTAAGTTTTGAATTTAGATTTGTGAGACTTTTTTTTCATGTTCTAAGAAGAAACACTCTCTTTTGGGAAATCTAGTGTAATCTACATGGTTTTTTTCCTAGTTAGATGCCTGATTTAAAGGGAGAACCTTATTTAATGTGACTTAAATTCTTTTAATTGAAGCATTACTTTTTACTAATTGAACATTAATTGTAGGTATTTTCTAAGCCAGTTTGGTCTGTAGCTCAGAACTAAAGAATTTCATTTTAAAACCTTACTGTTTGAAGTTTGAAAATGGATCTTAAGAATCCTGTAACATTCATGCTGCGTAAATTGCTTTGTGTTAAATGCTCGCCAGCCACATTACGAAGTCCAGTTAACCTGGATAATCAAACCTGAGAAAGATAATAGCAACCAAACCAAGCTAACATCTGTGTGTGTATGTATATTCACCTATGTGTATATGTAAAACATAAGCATATATGTATATATAAACATAGATATAAAAGTCCATAATAAAATCAAAATTCAGGAACCATGCACATAACCAAATAAGTAGTAGTCTAGCTTAACAGGAAATCCATTAAACACCAGGATAGTGTTGGGCTTAAGAGCAGAGAGTCTAGAGCTGGATCACCTAGTTTGAATGCCATCTCTGCCTGTTTTCTAACTGTGACCTTGGGCAAGGTTCTGGCCCTTGGCTTCCCCATTTGTAAATAAGGGTACTGAAACCTATCTCAGGGTCTTTGTGATGTTAAATGAGTTAGTACATGTAAAGCAAGCACTTCTGTCAGCACCCGACTCATAGGAAGTACCACAGAGTGGGGGTTATTACACTGTCCACCAACAAGACCGTCAGTTGAAAGATGAAAAATGTGATGTTCATCTTAATAGATGTTTGAAAGTCCTCTGAAATTTTAGCATCCTTTCCTGGTAGTTTATTACACTGATAAATGCATCCTTCCTATGAGGAGTATTTCGAACAAGTAGCATACCAGTTGAGGTGAAAGACTCAGGGCATTGCTGTCAGGAATGAGACAAGGGTGTACTACTTGCCACTTAATGCCGTTCTGACCTGTCTAGTCGTTGGCATCCTGCAGAATTAATTGGAAAATTGGAAAAGACAAAATTGTTATTTCCACTTTTTTGGATTTTTTACCTAGAAAACCTGGAACTGTTGGAAAACTTTTTAAATTAATAGAGTTTAGTAAAGTATAATGAAAAAATAAAAATAATTTTTCTTCCATATAACCAGTTAGAGGAGAAGTACCAAGGAGGAGAGAGAAAAGATCCCATTCATATACCAGTATCTAGGAATAGCTGGTGGTAGCCAGTAATAGTTAAGACCTATATAAATAAAGGTACAGAACTTTGTGAGTGAGTTAACAAAGATATTTAATACGTAGATACACCCCTCATTTTTGGTGGGAAGACATAAGATTAGTTTATTCTGATCCGAATCCCAACACAATTTTTTTTAGGCCGAATAATGTGATTCCAGATTTATCTGGAATTATAAGTAGGTTAGAACAATCAAGGTAATTTCTTAAAGGAAGAAATTCCTCTTCTAGATAATAAAATATGAAGTTACAATGTGACATCGGCCAAAAAATAGGTCAGCAAACAAAGATGGGAAAGGAATCCAAGGGTTGCCAATGTAAAAATTACAGAAGACAAATATCTAACAAAATTAAAAAGCAGAAGTGAAAAGTGGCCAGCTTGTAATGTGATTGAATCCTTCCTCAACTCAAATTTTTATGTAACAAGAAGCTGATGCCCCAGGAGGAAAAAAATGTACAAAGCACGTGAACAAATCGTCCACATAAACAGAGTTGGTCAGTATGTATGTGGAGAATGTTCATCCTCGCCAGTATTTAAAAATGCCAAATCCAATTTGAAAGGCCAGAGAAATTCTAAGTATTTAAAAGGGATAATATGTAATTTTGACAAGGGTGTGCTTGAATGAGCATTCCTTCCCTGCTGTTGCTAGTATAAACTAGTATTACTCTCTAAAGTGGCTTGGTGATGTGTACTAAGGCCTATACAATTATCAGGTAGAATGGGCTAAATTTATTGATGATAGAAACTAATAGAAATACAATTAGAGTAGAAAAACTATGTCCAGTGTCTTCAGTGATACAGGAAGTATATAAAACTACAGATATACTGAAAAGTAGCTGGGAGGTACAGGTTCACATTAGATTCAAGTGGTATTCTTTATCTTTGGTTAAGACCTAGCTCCAACCATGTAAATATGCCTTTGGCAGATGAGATTAGAACCACTGTTTTTCTGCAGAAAGAATCCAGTTGCAACATAAATTTGTTTTCTTGGTCTGTATTATCTGATTTACTGTCTCCACTATGTAACTTAAAGCAGCTCTGAAGTGTGTCATGTGTTTTAAAACAACAACAACAAAAAAAACCACCCTCTATTCCATGGGAAACTAGAAATTCAAAGTTAGAGTATTGAGTAGCTTTCTTTATTCTCTTTAGAAATGATGAGAAATCCATCTTTCCGGTGTAACTGGGTTTTTTGCTTCTGTTCCCTTTGTAGTATGTGCCAAGTGCTCTCTGCTGCCCGAGCAGAGCCAGCATCTTGACAGGGAAGTACCCACATAACCATCACGTTGTGAACAACACTTTGGAGGGAAACTGCAGTAGTAAGTCTTGGCAGAAGATGCAAGAACCAAATACGTTCCCAGCAATTCTCAGATCAGTTTGTGGTTATCAGACCTTTTTCGCAGGGAAGTACTTAAATGAGGTATGTTAAATAATCTGATTATTCCTCAAAAAAAAAAGCCTTACCGATGTGAATTAATGTAATTCATGTTAATTGTTTTTTAATTAGTATCCATTTTAGTCACATTGAAATGTTTTGGGTATATGTTTTCTCCTGATCTGCCCATTAAACAAGAATTTACTTACATGAACATATTTATTTGATTTAGGTTCTATAGTTATTCTTTCCTTTTTTTTTTTTCTTTTTTTAAAGTGTGTTTATTTAGAGAGAGAGCGCAGGGGTGGGGCAGAGAGGAGAGATTGAATCCCAAGCAGTCTCCACCCTGCCAGCACAGAGCCCAGTGCAGGGCTTAAACTCAAAAACCTGAAATCATGACCTGAGCTGAAATCAAGAGCCGGAGGCGTGACCAACTGAGCCACCCCGGTGCTTCAATTATTCTTCCTTTAAGTAGCCTGATAGCATTTATTTAAAAACTGTCCTATGACTGCTGCTATCTGATGCATCTTCCCCTTTTTCTTCAAGAATTTTGCTTGTCCTGTGACTGTTTGTCATCTTTGTTTACATTTTTCCTTTATCAAGATCAGAGTGAAGAATTTTTTCCTTCTGCCATTTTTCCTGCATTGTAACAACTTAAGACTTAACCCATTTTCTAACCTGAAAAAGGAACAAAATATGGAGAGATCAGTAATGAAGGGGAAGGAAGCACACAGAGCCTCGGATATTCAGGCCATGGAAGCATATGACTGTGCGGTTGTATGCTGGCCTCTTGTGTGCCTGGATGGAGAGACACCCAGTTTCTCATGGCCCCCACATTTGCCACATTGGCCGTAGCTCTATTCAGAGTTCACACTTTTTTTTTTTTAATTTTTGTAATGTTTTATTTATTTCTAGGAGAGAGAGAGAGACAGCGTGAGCAGGGGAGGGTCAGAGAGAGAGGGAGTCACAGACTGAAACAGGCTCCAGGCTCTGAGCTGGCAGTCAGCACAGAGCCCGACGCGGGGCTCGAACCCATGAACCACGAGATCATGACCTAAGCGAAAGTCGGACGCTTAACCGACTAAGCCACCCAGGCGCCCCCAGAGTTCACACTTAAAGGAAATAGTTTATGTGAGAGAGTTTGGGTTATTTTTTCTAGTAAAATTGGGGATGCGAGACAAAGAAAAAAATGTACATTTTCTTAAACACTTTATCCATGGTTGCTGGAGATCCTAATATCTTATCTGAATTTTCTCTTCATTCTTTCCCTCCCCACAATAATTTGGAGAATTTGCAACCTTGTGAGTTTGAAAGAAGAGTCAGTTTGAAAAGAACCATGATAAATAATTACAGATACCACGTTCTTGCGATAAGGCTGTGGGTCATAAACAGAAAATGTACTACTTTGCATATCTAAGATCATGAAATCTACATATAAAATTAGGAGAAATTCATTAAAATATGAAGATTTCTTGGGGCGCCTGGGTGGCTCAGTCGGTTAAGCATCTGACTCTTGGTTTTGACTCAGGTCGTGATCTCACAGTTTGTTGGATTGACTCACCAGTGCAGAGCCTGCTTGGAATATTCTCTCTCTCTCTCTCTCTCTCTCTCTCTCTCAAATAAATAAATGAACTTTTTTTTTAAAAATACAAAGATTTCTCAAGGATTCTTCCTTAAGTGGGCAATACTAAACCTTGTCGAGATTAAATAGGATGGTTCTATGGTCAGTTATTCATCTCCTCAAATCAGTTGAGCTCTGAAAGTAGATTTCATCATCAGGACGACTGAAGCTATAGGATGAGAGATCATAATATGATTCTGGCCCTTGTGAGCCACAAGGTTAGTTGGGAGTATTCAGTCTATGCCATCAGTAGCTCAGGAAATGAATCCTGTGACCTAAGCTACGTGGACTTTTTCTAGAAAGGGCCAGAAGTAAATATTTTAGGCTCTGCAGGCAATGTCTCCTTTGTGATGACATCCTTACCTATGGAGGGTACTTTTCCAGGCCCCAGGGGATGCTTGAAACTATGGGTAGTACTGAACCCTATATCTACTATGTTTTTACCCATACATATGTACCTGTGATAAAGTTTAATTTATAATTAGGCACAGTAACAGATTAGTAGCAACTAAAGTAAAATATAACAGTTGTAACAATATAACGCAATAAAAGTTATGTGAAAATGGTCTCTCTAAAAATATCTTATCACGCTGTACTTACCCTTCTGGTGATGATTTGAGATCGTAGAATACATACATGATGGGGTGAAGTGAGGTGAATGACTTAGGCATTGTGACATAGTGTTAGGCTGCTGCTGACCTTCTGATAGAAGGAGGATTATCTGCTTTGGGGCTACTGTTGGTAACAGGTAACTGAAACCACGGAAAGTGAAACTGCAAATGGAGGGGGACTTCTGTATTTGACTGTGCCGTTGTAGCATGAAAGCAGCCACAGACATTATAAAAATCAACAGTGAGTGCAGCTGTGTTCCAATAAAACTTCATTATCACTGACATTTTAGTTTCGTGTAACTCACATGTCACAGAATACTCCTTTATTCTTTGTTGTTTGTATTTTTTAATGGTTGGGGAAAACCTCTCAGTTTGCTGATCATATAAAACAGTTGGCAGGTTAGATCTGGCGTACTGGCCGTTAGTTTGCAACCTCTTGCTTCTCAAGTTCTTAGGATTCTAGTGTTTTTTACTTTTTGACTGGTTTATATGTTTGGGAAAATTGAGCATTTGCCATGTTTCAATTTTTATGTTTGTTTGTTTTTGAGAGAGAGAGAGTGTCAAGTTGGGGAGCAGCAGAGAGGGGGAGACACAGTATCCGAAACAGGCTCCAGGCTCTGAGCTGTCAGCACAGAGCCTGATGCAGGGCTTGAACTCACAAACCGTGAGATCATGACCTGAGCTGATCTGAAGTCAGACACTTAACTGACTGAGCCACCTGGGCACCTCACATCTACCATATTTCAGACACTGATCTAAAAAGATTCTAGGGACGCCTGGGTGGCTCAGGTAGTTAAGTGACCGACTTATGTCGGTCATGGCTTAAGTCGTGATCTCACGGTTCGTGAATGCAAGCCCCATATCAGGCTCTGTGCTGACAGCAGGGAGCCTGGAGCTTGTTTCAGATTCAGCGTCTCCCTCTTTCTCTGTGTCCCTCCCCTGGTGGCACACATGCACTCTCTCTAGTAAATAAACACTTAAAAAATTTAATAAAATTGAATGTGCCCATCTTCAGAAAAATTAAAATAGAATAAAAAGATTCTAAAAATGTCCTCTTTTTTTTTTAATTTTTTTAATGTTTTATTTATTTCTGAGAGAGAGACAGAGAGAGTAAGTAGGAGAGGGTCAGAGAGAGAGGGAGATACAGAACCTGAAGCAGGCTCCAGGCTCTGAGCTGTCAGCACAGAGCCCGACACGGGACTCAAACCCACGAACCGTGAGATCATGACCTGAGCTGAAGTCGGACGCTTATCCGACTGAGCCACCCAGGTGCCCTTAAAAGTGTCCTCTTTCTGATCTGGTCGTGTCTAAGGATTTCTGATGCCCTGCTTGTCTTGTGTTTTAGTATGGAGCCCCCGATGCAGGTGGACTAGAGCATGTTCCTCTGGGTTGGAGTTACTGGTATGCCTTGGTGAGTGGTTACTGACATCAGTGATGATCACACACAGCCCTACAGATGTGAAATGTATTTACTCTTTAATTTAGTTCTGATTTTTCACATGAATTGCTTTGTGTTTATGATTAGCTGTTTTATCTCCTTAAAAGAAAGTCTGTTGATTACAAGTCACTCCCTTGCAGGATATTTCTTCTGCATCACACAAAATTTAACTACATTTTGCTGTTCTGTCTGATCTACTTGTGGCATTTTAAACTACGACGTATTATTGAAACTATGTTAGTAGTTATTTAATAAAACTTCAGTCAGCGAATCCAATTCAGTATTGACTTGAGCAATTACTTTTTTTTTTTTTGATGTCTTATCGCTACTGAAACAGTATAGTTTAGCCTAACATGATTTCTGACTTTCATTTGGTGTGCTGACCTCATAACAACTTTTACTTTCCTGTCAAATAGGAAAAGAATTCTAAATACTATAATTATACCCTCTCTATCAATGGGAAGGCACGAAAGCATGGTGAAAACTACAGTGTGGACTACCTGACAGATGTCCTGGTGAGTTACTGAAGCTCTGTCCTCGCAGGTTTAGCTCACGATTGATTAAAGGTTCTGCCTAGGAAACCTTTGGATTTGGTCATATTGAGTAACGGGAATGAATAATAACTTCATTTAAAGACCAAAGAGTATTTCCAACCGATTAAAACTCCTGAGGGTATTTTTCTTTGCATATAAGCCAGGCTCAGAGCTAATGTTTTTGAAATTCCAGCAACAAATCCCTTTTCCAAAGGCTAATCTCTAAGACTATAGAGATTACTTTGAAGAGGTTTTACTTTAGAGATTTTTACTCTTGACCCCAGTTTCACTCCCAGGCTCTGAGATGGCAGTTTCACCATGAAGGTGAGCAGATAGGAATTGGGAGTTCTTAAGGCATTGTGTATGTATATATCAGAATGAAACTGGGTGAATTTAAGACTTTCCTGTCTAAGGTGTTTTTAGCGACAGCCCTCCATAGAGTATTCATTCAGCAAATATTTCAGACACTAGCATAGCAGGTGTTCAGTAGATGAAGCAGAATCCCTCTGAGTGATCCGTTAGAGAAATAAGGCAGTGTATGGGAGTTACTTAGATAACGTTGACAGAAGTGAGCGTGAGCTGTGCAGATCAGAAGAGAGGTTGCCACAGACGAGAGAACAGCAAGTGTGAGGGCACTGAGGCAGGAGTATGCTTGGCGTGTTGGGAAACCACAGGCTCCTGACACAGCAGGTAGGTGGGATGGTGAAAGGAAATCGATGCAGTCAGTATCCTTTGAGTTTACTTTGAGTTGATGGGGATAAAAGAAGATGTAACAACTAGAACAGTTTTTTTTAAGTTTATTTATTTATTTTGAGAGAGAGAGGAAGCGAGCGGGGGAGGAGCAGAGAGAGGAGAGAGAGAGAATTGCAAGCAGGTTCTGTGCTGTCAGTGCAGACCAATGCGGAGCTCGAACTCATGAATCGTGAGATCCTGAGCTGAAGGCCAGAGTTGGACGCTTAACTGACTAAGCCACGCAGATGCCCCTTGATTATAAGAATTAAAAACATAGCATGTATGTGGGATATTTTCATTTTCATGATGCATCTCCAGTAAAGAAACAAAAAATATAAGTCAATATAAATTAAAATCCTGGCGTGATGTATTTGGATTTAATGTTGTTCATTCAGCTTAGCTGCTTTTATTGGGATAACTTATGATATCTATGTTCTGTATATTTTTCATAAGATTAAGGTAATTTGATTCACCTGTCCCACTGTTGTGAATTAGGTTGACTCTTTTTATATTCTTTAAGGCATCAAAGGCAGTCTCTAAGCTATTTTAATATAAGCTAATACTTAAATGGTCAAAGTACTATTTCTTTCCTTATCGGAAGCTTAACAATCTTCAGATCATGTAAAATCATTACGGTCTTCATTCCTTTCTTAGGATGGTATAGCTTCCCATTTTTAAAGTAAGTTTTGCCTAAAAACCGAATCCAACAACACACTTCTAAGTGACATAGATTGTGTTAAGATTAACATGCAAGTTGTGTTTAGATTAAGATTGTTAAAATTCTTAAGATTGCTTAAAAGCTAATATGACCCTGTACCTCCTGTTTACCTGAGAACATGCATTTCTGAAGTCCTCAACTGTTGGGTAGGTGATGACACATTTTATATATCTCAGGCTAATATCTCCTTGGGCTTCCTGGACTCCAAGTCCAACTCTGAGCCATTCTTCATGATGATCTCCACACCAGCGCCTCATTCACCTTGGACAGCCGCACCTCAGTACCAGAAGGCCTTCCAGAACGTCTTTGCACCAAGAAATAAGAACTTCAACATCCATGGAACGGTAGCTTCCCCCAACCCTTGAATTAAACTATACTTGATATAAGTAACTTGTGAGGGAGCCTTTGAGCCAGTAGTCCATTTTCATTCCAGATCTTTTAAAGGTAATTGTACCTGTCTCAGTCAAGTGCAGTAGATAGTATAAATTTGCTTCAGAAGCACAGATGAGCTTTCTGCCACATAGGCAGTTAGCAGCCGGAGAGTCCACAGGGAATATTAAAGAAATGTCATCTTTCCTGACTGCAGGCTCTCTTGATAGTTTTTTGTTTTTTTTTAACGTTTATTTTTGAGAGACAGAGATAGAGCATGAGTGGGGTAGAAGCAGAGAGAGAGGGAGAGACAGAATCCAAAGCAGGCTCTAGGCTCTGAGCTATCTGTCAACACAGAGCCCAACGCGGGGCTCGAATCCAAGGACCATGAGATCATGACCTGAGCTGAAGTTGGACACCTAACTGCCTGAGCCACCCAGGTGCCCCCACTCTCCTAATTTCTGTGCTGGTTCTCAGTGGCTGAGGCACATCCCTTGGGGCTGAGCAAGGCCTGCAGCAGCCTTCTGTGGGTGGACCTCAGCAGGCCCGAGGCATAGGAAGAAGGGGGCGATGTAGTGCAGAATGACTGGAAGAGGAAGCTGAATGGAGAAATGAGCCAGCAGGGAATATAATTAAAGGCCACAACCTAAATGTTTGCCTTATATGCCAGTTACTTATGCTTTCCTTGCACAAGGCAGAGGCAGTTCACGGATTCAGAGGCAGAAATACTCTACTGCCTCATGCCTGTTGCCCAGATATCTTGATTGCTCGTGAAGTGGTAGACAGAATGAGTCTTAGACTCAGCACTGCCACTTTCTAGCTAAGTGACCTGACCATGAGCAAGATGCTTCACTTCTGCTTTTCTGTCTCAAGTGGGAGATCTTTACTCCTCATGCAGCTGCTATATGGATTAAAGGACCTAGAAATACGTAGTGAGTTGCCTGGCACATTGTAGGCAAGTGCCTGAGTATGATTTTTAAAGCTGAGAGAACAGAGTTTTGAACTAGAGAGCTTTTCTCAAGTTGTATTCCAAAAGAAGTTAATAGAAGTTCCCAAGAGCAAGTAAGTTTAGAAATTTTAAGTAGGCCACTGTTACAGAATTTCTCAGAGATATTCCTGTTCTAACGTGAATTTCCAACTGGAGGGTATACTCTATAGCATTTCTCAAACACGTTAACTAAGAACCTTTTGAGGATGTTAGTTTGGGAGATGGTGACTTAGGGCTTTATGAATAGGGAGGAGAGAATTAATGATGTATGGGAATTTTTTTTTGTTTGTTTTTTAGAACTGTGAGTGTCTTGTTTAAATGAGAAGAACTCTCTAGATTTGGGTTTGAAGTTTTAGGAAATTGCAATGATGAGACTTTTCCCAAGGCTCTAGGATGATTGGCATCTTGGGTAGAAAAATAGTGATAGAATGATGGCTTGTTAGGACAAAAATTAATGGAAGGTAAAATTAATCATTTACCCTTTTGTGGTTTGGGTAATAGACCCAGAGCATAGACTTAAAGTTACAAATTTAGTCTCCTTTTAGCCAATAGTTTCTCAGTATTATTATTATTATTATTTATTTATTTATTTACTTATTTATTTTTACTAAATCTCTTTAAATGCTGATTAATGCTGCTAACAAGGAGTCCAGGCCTTCTCTCATTAGGGAGGTAGTGGGAAGAAGCTAAAGAATGAGTGATAATCTATAGAGAGTGTTTTTACGAACACATGGGGCAGGGGAGAGGAAGTCTGAAATTGCTTAAATGCTCTCATAAGTTCTTCCTTTGCTGAAGTATAAAACGATCCTTTTTGTTATCTACTCTGGTAGTTTGATTGTAGTAACTTGGTATTAACGTTTTTTTTCTTTTAAATTTTAGAACAAGCACTGGTTAATTAGGCAAGCCAAGACCCCAATGACTAATTCTTCAATACAGTTTTTAGATAATGTATTTAGGAAAAGGTAAGAGCTGCTTCTTTATCAGTCTGGATGGTCTTTGAGGACCTTTCCAAATCAGCCCGTGAGCAGGGGACTGCACAGCATGGTTATCTTTGAGAGAAAATCAGGAGGTAGCGGTTGATGGGAGAAACTCTGGTTGGGGGTCGGCTGCCCCAGAAGCAGACTGAGCTTCCTTTACATTCAGCTGTGCAGGAGATGGTCTTTGGACCCCAGGACTAAGATAATTGCAAACTGGAGCCATTCGGTTAAAAAAAGAAATCCGTAAGTCTGAAGAAAATATCACTTTGTAAGAGATCAGGCTCAGTAGTGGCATAAGACCCAAAGGCTTAGACTAGAACAGAATATTTGTCTTTGCCATTTGGAATTTCAAGGAATTGCTTTAAGTCGATTCTAAAAATTCAGTTATACCCTTAAGGGTTATTTAGATTATACTAGGGATTAGCAAGCTATTTCCGTAAAGAGCCAGATAGTGAATATTATAACCTGGCAGGCCATACAGTTTTTGTTACAATTGACCAGGTTCATTGTGGAGCCCAGCTAGGCAGTATGAAGGTGCATGACTGTGTTCCAATAAAACTTTATATAAAAACAATTAGTTTAGTGGATACAGAGTTTCAGATTTACAAGATGAAAAGGTTCTGGAGACCTGTTTCACTGTGGGAATATACTTAATACTAATTATACCCTTAAAATTTGTTAAGATGGTAAATTTTTTGTCATATATTTTTTTTCTTAATATTTTTATTTATTTCTAGGAGAGAGAGAGAGAGAGACAGCGTGAGCAGGGGAGGGTCAGAGAGAGAGGGAGATACAGACTCTGAAATAGGCTCCAGGCTCTGAGCTGGCTGTCAGCACAGAGCCCGACGCAGGGCTCAAACCCACGAACCATGAGATCATGACCTAAGCGAAAGGCGGACGCTTAACCGACTAAGCCACCCAGGCGCCCCTGTGTCGTATATTTTTTACCTCAATTTAGAAACAAAAACAGTGGGCAAGCTGTGGCCCATCACCATAGTTTGCAACCCCTAGCCTAGACCCTTAAGCACTTGTAGCATAGGTCTGTCGGAATGAATCTGTATTCATCAGTATTGAATTGACAGCTTTCTCTTCCAGTTGCTTCTGCTGTCATCACCAGTGGTGATACAGCTAACTGGTTATAAAAAGCCTCATTTATTTCTTTAGAAACAGTTAAATTTGGAATGAACTTAATTATGTTCTGGAATTGGTTTTTTTCCCTTCTGGAATTTTCTAATTTGTTTTTTTCAGTGAGGGGTTTGAGGAAAGGAAGTTGGGGATTTGAGCTTTGGAGGTGTGGTTGGGGGCTTTGAATTGTTGTTTTGGACTTTGCTCCTGTTTTTTTTTTTTTTTTTTTTTTTTGGCAAGATAGCATTCCCTCAGTCATTGTTTCTGAAGTCTCATTGTCACCCTCTGTTCACATCCAGGTGGCAGACTTTACTGTCAGTTGATGACCTTGTGGAGAAACTAGTCAAGAGATTGGAGTCCAATGGGGAACTTGACAACACATACATCTTTTTTACCTCAGACAATGGCTATCACACAGGTAAGGGGAAGGTAGGGTATTCCTGTGACCTTGATGAGGTGCCTTTCTTCTTTTACCCAGTCAGCAGCACTGGCATCGGGATGGACAGGCCAGGAGGGTGTTGTCCTCAGGACTCCTCTGCTTAGAGGCTCTTCTCATTAGCACATGGGGAGATCAGGTTTCATTGTTTGCTGTTTCATATGCTAAATTACATGATATTCTAGGGGTTGGGATCAGAGAGTGAGCTTGCCCGGTTGGAGGCAGGCTTTACGAAAGAGGTCAGAAACAGAACTAGATTTAAAGGGCAGGTAGACCTTAGAGAATATAGGGTTAAGAGATTTTACGAGGAAAGACCAAGATAAGGTTGTCTTGGGGGAAAACCCCTTTCTTGTGAAATTGTGAAATAAGTTTTATTGATTTTGTGTGTGTATGGTTTGTTTTATGTTTTGTCTTTTCAAAACCGCATATGAGTCAGCCCTATATTCTTGACTTTCCTTTTCTCCCCTTAGATTTTCTTAAAAACCAGTGTCATCTTTCCCTACCTATAAATTTCACAAACTTGAAGACTGCTAACCTGAGACTCGCTTGCATAGGAGCAGATTGATTAGGCATTTAATTTCTTTTAAGTTTATTTTGAAAGAGAGAGCAGGAGAGAGGGGCAGAGAGAGAGAGAGAGAATCCCAAGCAGGCTCCACACTGTCAGCACAAAGCCCTTACTTGGGTTTGATCCCACGAACCACAAGATCATGACCTGAGCAAAGATCAAGAGTTGAATGCTTAACTGACTGAGCCACCCAGGTACCCCTAGGCACTTAATTTTTGTTATGAATATTTTTAAGCACTCAAAGGTGAGACTAGTAAAATAACCCTCATTATCTACCTTTGATTTTTAGCTACATGTGACCAGTTTTTTAAAATTCTTTCTACCTTCCCCATGCTTTTCTGTTTTAGCTCGGAAGGCTTTGTAAACACTTCAGCCATTGTGATTCTGTACACCAGTGCTTGGCTGTGCTTCTGACTGGTCCATTGTATATTGGGATCAGACAAAGCTCACATCTACCTGTATTTCTCTTGTGCCCTGAGCCTGTCATTGCCACTTACTCATTGGGAAAAAGGGCTTTTGTTCTTTAGAACATCTCATATTCTAGATTTGGCTAATTGCAGCCTTGTGAGGCCTTGTTTACCTTTAGTCAGCATTTTCCATAGATTGGTAGTTAGATCTATAGTCTTTTTTTTAAAAAATGTTTTTTAATGTTTGTTTTTGAGAGAGAAAGAGAGACAGAGTGCAAGCAGGAGAGGGACAGAGAGAGGGAGACACAGAATCCAAAGCAAGCTCCAGGCTGTGAGCCGTCAGCACAGAGTCTGACATGGGGCTTGAACATGCAGACCGCAAGATCATGACCTGAGCTGAAGTCAGATGCTTAACCGACTGAGCCACCCAGGTGCTCCAGATCTTTAGTCTTAACAGAAGTTCACATTTCCAGTGAGAATGCTTTCCTGGTGATATTGATAAGTACTTCCTGTTGCTTCACTTCGTGACGGTATCTGCTTGAGCAGACCCTCTTGACCTAAGCTCCTAACTGATGGCTCGTGCAGTATCAGCCTGGACTCTGAGCCTGTCCTGTGAACCTTTTGTGGCCAAAGCTTCCATTGATGATTGTTGCTTTCATCCATTCTCTCAAAAATTGCAAAATGTTGACTTCCTAATTCTGTCCTTTTTGCTTTTATTAATTGGAATTCCTTAGAGAAGAACTTCTCATCAACTCTTTGGTTATCTTGAAATTGATTTATTCAGGAAAGGCCAAATAAATATTTTTGTTCCTTTATTTACAGTTTTTAGAGTAACTTCATTCAGTTGTGGTCAGGTTGAGTATCATACATAAATTGTATTTGTTACAGTACTTTCCAGTCATTCTTTTTGCTGACTGTGTCTTGTGTTAGACCCCGAGTCCCTCGAGGCGTTTGTTTAAAGATGAACTCATTTCCTGCCATGTAGTAATAAGAGACCTGAGCAGTTGTAAACTTTCCATTAAAGCACCATAAATAGTAGAACAAAGTTGTTTTCATCCTTACTATCAATTAAATGAATGAATGAGTTACACATCTATCTTGGCTTCATTTTTACCCCATGTATTTTATTTTCAGGACAGTTTTCTTTGCCAATAGACAAAAGACAGCTGTATGAGTTTGATATCAAAGTTCCACTGTTGGTTCGAGGACCTGGGATCAAACCAAATCAGATAAGCAAGGTAGGTGCCTGAGAAAATGATGGTATTTACAGGAGCACTTGCCTGAGAAAAGACGGCTGTTTCTCTGGAGAGGAGGCTAATTAGATTTCTCCTACTATAAGGAGGAAGTCTAATTGGCTTACAATCTTCTGTGCGTATTTATAAGCCTTGGAAATAGTGATTCCTTTTTTTAATTTTCTGGCCACCTTCTATTAACTGTATTCCTCCCTCAGCCTCGTGTATATTATATACCATATCAGGATGAGTAACTTTTATTTGTCCTTCAAGACTGTAAATCTTTTCTTTTTGAGAGAGAGAAAGAGAGCAGGGGAGGGGCAGAGAGAGGGAGACACAGAATCCGAAACAGGCTGCACACTCTATGCTATCAGCACAGAACCCAACACAGGACTCAAACTCACGAACCGTGAGATCACAACCTGAGCTGAAGTCAGACGTTTAACCAACTGAGCCACCTGGGCGCTCCCTGCAAGACTGTAAATCTTCACCTTGTCCTAGAGTGGTGACTCTCCAGTGTGGCGCTCCTCAAGGTCACCCGCTGAAACTGTGAAAGGTTCAACATCCTGAATAGTTCTAGTGGACTCACTTGCATGGAATAGAGACCCAGCCTCTGCTTTTTCTTCTTCAGTTCACAGATGATCCTGAGAGGCAGCCCAGTTTGGGGTCCACTACCCCTCAGCAGCATTTCTCAGGCAGATCCCCCTGGGGACCTTGTTAAAATGCAGATTCTGATTCTGTATTTCTCACCTCCCAGCTGATGTCTGCTGCTGATCTGACCTCTCTTTGAGTAGAATGCTATAGAAAGCAGTCTTCTGAAGACTTCGTCCCTCTTTCTGTGAGACTTTTCCTTGCTAATGTTTCTGCTTTACTGATTCTCCTAGAACTGTCATAATGTTCCACTTTCTTTTCTTGCCATTTCCATTTGGGTTCATGGTCTTTCTCCAAGCTTGGTACCTAATACTGAGGCACTTTGTTCCTAGATCCAAAACACTTTGGTCTAACGCTTGGGAGATAAGAATTGGTAAGCTCTACCAGTTATGTCTTTTCTTTCCTGATAACACAATTTCCTGATAACAGCTCCGTGAGGCAAAAGAAAATTAGCAAATAGATCATTTAAGCTAAATTTGGAAAGTGAGCCATACTTTCTGGGTATACTAGATACTTTCATTTGGGGGTTTAACGTTTACTTTTTTTTTTTAATATTTTTATTTATTTCTGAGAGAGAGACAGCATGAGCAGGGGAGGGTCAGAGAGAGAGGGAGACACAGGATCTGAAACCGGCTCCAGGCTCAGAGCTAGCTGTCAGCACAGAGCCCGACATGTGGCCTGATCCCACAAACTGTGAGATCATGACCTGAGCCAAAGTCGGACACCCAGCCGACTGAGCCACCCAGGCGCCCCTAACGTTTACTTTTTTAAATGTCTGCAATTCACTTATTTTCTTTTGTAATGCTAGGATGGAATTCTGTTGTTCTTTCAGAAAGGTAAAATGGTCTTCATAATTTCCTTTTGAGTTTTCTTTTTCTCTTAAGACCTACAATCCTAAAGCCAGTCACTTCCCACTACAAATTCAGTACCCTCTAAATGGGCCTCCTTTCAAAGGAGATAGGCAAGTTTGGAGGACCATTAAATCTTAAAAGCATTTTATAGATCTCAGCGTTGGGAGTTGATTTGGGGGACGTATCTGCAGCTGTGCACGTTTCCAAGGAGCAGGGCTCCTAGGGCCACTTCTAACCAGTGTGTGGAAGGAGGCTGACTGAGAACAAAATGAAATGTGACAGACCACCCATTGAACAAACCATTCCTTTTGTCCTCAAGTTAACCATGGCAAGGAGAAAAGTTCACCTCCTCTAAGCAGTCTAAATGAAACTTGGTTCTAAGGAAACCATTTCAACAATAACAACTATCATTTATTGAATGCTTAGTGTGTGGTAGGTGCTGTTCTAAGTGTATTAGTCATACCAGTTCATTTAACTTTCACAGCCTTATGACATACACTGTTAGCCCCCTTTTACAGATGAGGAAATTGAGGTACAAAGTTAAATGGTTTTGCCCAGGATAATGTAGCTAAAAAGTATCAGAGTCTGGCTCCACAGTCTATACTTAACCGTTACAGTATAGCTCAGAAAATATTTTAAGTATCTCCTTACGCCAGCAGCCTTGGGTACATAGTAGTGAGAGTACCAAGCAGTCAGTGAAGATCAGTTCTTAAATCCCTGGGTGCAGGAGAACCAGATACTTTAGCTACACTTGTCAGAACCTCCGAGGTATCTGAGTGGAGACCTGGGTGTTGAGAAGGATTTGTGGGAGGGCATTCTGAGCAGAACAATAAATGCAAAGGCACAAATATGAGATTGAGCTTGGCTTGTTCAGGGGACAGAATATGGCAGTTGTACTTAATTACTTTCACTTTCTAAGTGAACCATCTCTCTCCCCTCCTTGCCTTTGTATGGCTGATTGCTCCCTATGTTTGGAAGGCCCTTCTGGTGCCCTTTCCGCCTCACCAATTGTCCTTTGGAGCTTTAGGGCTCCTGTCCGGAAAGTCACTACAGAGCCCCGCCCCCACTTGGGGTAGGTATTCTTCCCATGTTCTCAGCTGGCTTCACACTTACCACACCCTACTGGGTTTGTCTTTTATCTGAGGGGTTCCTCGGGGAGAGACACTGTCTAACCTTAGACTACCCCGCCCTTAACACACACTGGGGGACGTCTCTGGTGCTTGGATGGTTGGTTAATTACCAAGGTCACATAGTAAGTGGCAGAACCAGGACTGAAAATTAAGTCTATAGTTAAATCCGTGTGTGTGTGTGTGTGTGTGTGTGTGTGTGTGTGTGTCTCACTGCTGTGCTGACAGATGTCGTTTGAGAAGCATGAAGTGCTCAGCTTCCACTTAGCACAAAGAATGTCAGAGATGGTGAGTGACTCATCATGTGTCGACAACATAGTTGTCTCAGTGCCAGTTGTCCTGTGTGAGTGGCACAGAGTTATGAGTTGGGCATAATGAACTGAGCTGTCAGAAGCTGATGGCCAAAACAGGGCACGTCTGACCGGCAGGACTCAGCTGCTGGGCGTTCAGAAGCAGGTGGTATGTGTGGATGCCAAAGACTGGCTTATTGAGGTTTTTTTCCCCTGGCTAGAATTTAGTCTAGCTTTAGATTTGGTGGTAGAAATTCTTCAAAAGGTTTTTAAACAAGAAAAAGGTTAGTAGGAGAAAAATGACCCAGCATGATCCAGGGGAAATAGAACTCGGAGTCAAGAAGACAACATACTGGCTTTAAGACTGGACAGAATAAGTCTTGTTTCCCTACGTGAAATTGGGAGGATGGAAATCGAAAGCTTCTCAAGTGTAACTTGGTGACATCCTGGCTTCATACTTGGAGGGAAGTTGGGACTGAGGCATCAATCCAGATGCAGCAGCCCAAGGTGGGGGGAGCTCTCTGCTCTCTTACGCAGTTCCACTGCGTTTCGCTAAATGGATTTGGGGTGCTCTCCAGCATGCTTTGAGTCTTTCCTTTGATATTGCTACATGAATTCTTGACTGTTGGGATTTCCGATATCCTCCTGAGAACCCTCTTTCTTTTTTTTTTTTTTTCCTCCCTCAGTAGTTCTGTAACACTGTCGTTCTTCTAGAGCTGAAAAATAAGCAGCTGTGCAAGACATGATATCCCTTGATTTCCTGCCCCAGAATTTTCTGAGAACTTTGGCTTGATCAGCAGGTCTATATACTTTAATCTAAGAACAATCCCAAACTGTGAGGCTGTGACGTATGAAATAATTTACTTTTGGTCTCATCAGTGGTTTCTCAGTTCCAATCCATAAATGAATCTCTATATTTCCTGATAAAATCAGTACCATTTTAGGAACTTGAATTGCTGGTGTTTCTAGAAGTTATTATCATCACGGGTCCATAGTGTCCATTGTAATTCTTGTTTGTAAAAACCAGAGCTGGGTGTAGTTCTCTGTTGAAGTCTTTACTCCTACTCCCATTTCCATCAGAAGTCTACCATCTCCTGACATAGTATGCTAATTTTGAGATTCTTTACCTCTTAGTCGAACAAAAGCCTAAAAGGTAATAGAATTTGTCCATTATTTTTACGGAAAATGTGATTATTGTAGATGCCTGGGAACAGAGAGCCCTGGGATGGTGTATATGGCATGTGGGCTGAATCTTAGTGACTCTTGACTTGTACTGAAACCTTAAAGACCTTTCTCCCCAAAGAGCAGACTCCTTCAAGAGAAGCTCCCCCTCAGCCCCCATCACACAGCTGATGGCTCTTGAGGCAATTTCTGGTGAAACAGGCAGTCACCATTTTATATCTCTATGGGCTTTATTATTTTGGTGTTTACTTTTTTTCCCCCTCTTATGAAACTGCCTTGATCATGTTACTGATACCTGTGCAATTGGTTTTATGTCATTTATGTTCTAGACACGACTGAAGATCTTTTAGTCACATGCCAGGGTCTTATTCCCTTGATGTGGTTCTGGAAGTGATACCTCTGCTAGTCTTTCCTTTCCTGCCATGATCTCCTCTGTATTCATACCCAGTCTTGTTGACTGTGTTCAGAGCGGCTCAGTCTGCCTGGGAGACTTGGAATTAGGCAAGATCTCTGTTACGTTGGGTCTTGTATAATTCCTAGAGACATCATTTTTGTGGGTTTTTTCCTCAGTAACATATGGATTGCCTTTCCCATGAGTGGCATGCCACGGACTGCTAATTTCTGACAGCTGCAGCATTACACTAACCAATTCAGAGCCAAGCAAGATAAGCATACTGGTCTGCCCTACAAGAGCCGTCGTAGCTATAGGAGACCTGGCCCCTGAGGAACATCGCCCTGAAGATGTTCTTTCATGTCTACTTTTGGTTTTGTTTTTAAATTAAAAGTTCCTGAGTTGGTAGGAATCCCATTTGGCCTTTCCTTTTTTTTTTTTTTAATTTATTTCTGAGAGAGAGAGCATGAACAGGGGAGGGTCAGAGAGATAGGGAGACATAGAATCCGAAGCAGGCTCCAGCTGAGCTAGTTGTCAGCACAGAGCCCGACACGGGGCTCGAACCCACAAACCGTGAGATCCTGACCTGAGCCGAAGTCAGACACTTAACCGACTGAGACACCCAGGTGCACCCCCCCCCCAGCAATTTGGCCTTTTCTAAGATGCTGTAAGTTTTCTCAGCAATTTTGAAGACTGTTAATTTCCTTTGAGTAAATGGTAGCTTTTCCAATTATGAGCTGTTGACTTTGTTTCAGTTACTTCTCTTTGGTTTCCTCATCTGTAAAATGGGGGAAGTACTGTATCCTAAGGTTGTGATGAGGATTAATTGAGGAGAAACGGTAAGTAACATCATGGAATAGGTGCTTGGTAAACATTAGTGCCTCTAGTTTCCCTCGTGGCTTGTCTTCACCATTCTAAAAGCTTTTCCTAACCTGTGACTGAAGTGACTTCAGGTGTATGCTTCGGTCTTTTGTAGGTCTACACTGTCCACCTCAGTAGCCACCAGCCATGCATGCCTGTTAATGTCAAGTTAAATATATACAATGAATTTCCCCTTTTTCTTTTTTACTTTAATGTGGTCACTAGACCATTTTAAATTGTATATGTGGTCCCATTATATTAGACTATGCTGGTTTAAGTCCTAAAGAGGATTTGTATACAGAAGGAAAATAGTCTAATAAACCAAAGGAATAAGGCAAGGTATAAGTACAGGACAAGAACTTTAATTTTTAGACTGTTTATTTAGCACATTTAAGTTTTGTGCTCTTTAAGGAAACTTTTTTCAGTGCATTGTTGGAATAAGTTTTCTGAGGTCTCCAGCCTATTGCAAACATTTTTTAGGTGTTATCAGTTTGAGAAATGATAAGAAGGGCGAATATCCTCCTTGGTAAGAAGCACTTAACTTTTGGGACACCTGGGTGGCTCATTCCATTGAGTATCCAACTCTTGATTTTGTCTCAGGTCATGATCCCAAGGTCGTGAGGTTGAGAGTCCCATGTCGGGCTCCATGTTGAAGGCCTGGAGCCTTCTTGGGATTCTCTTTCTATCTCTCTTTCCCTCTCTCTCCCTCTCTCTCTTCTTCCTTCTCTCTCTCTCTCTCTGTCTCTTCCCCCCAATTTCTGCTCCCTTTCCTCCTCCCCCTCCCCCCTCTTCCCCACTCCTGTGTGCTCTCTTTCCAAAAATAGAAAAATTAATAAAAAGCATTTAACCTTTGAGGCTTTCAAAGCTGCCAGTCTATTTGAAATCAAATTTAGTGCTGAGGCATAGGAGCACGTGTACCCCAATGTTCATAGCAGCACTCTCCACAATAGCTAAAATATGGAAAGAGCCTAAGTGTCCATCAGCAGATGAATGGATCAAGAAGATGTGGTTTATACCATGGAATACTACATGGCAATGAGAAACAATGAAATCTGGCCACGTGTAGCAACATGGATGGACCTTGAGGGTGTTATGCTGAGCGAAATAAGTCAGGCAGAGAAGGACAAATATCATATGTTTGCACGTATAGGAGGATTAGGAGGAACTTGACGGAGGAACAAGAGGGAGAAGAAGGGCGGAAATGGTGGGGGAAAGGGAGAGGCAAACCATGAGAGACTCTTGAATGCTGACAAAAACTGAGGACTGATGGATGTGGGGGGGAGGGGAGGATGGGCATGGAGGAGGACACTTGTGGGGATGAGTACTGAGTGTTATGTGGAAACTAATTTGACAATAAACTATTTGTAAAAAAAAAAAATAAAGAAAGAAATCAAATTTAGTGAACTATAGAAATAATCAAGTTGCAAACACTTTGTATAAAATAATTAGCCCAACATTTTCACATGATTCATCAGACTGTAGGCAGTGCCAAAGAAGTTTCAAAAAATGTTTTGATCAATAACAGTTATGGGTTGAAAAAATACATAACTTCCCAGGGGCATATGTTACAAGTCTCATAAACTTATATGTTTTGCTTTGTTTTTTTCATTATTGTATTTATATTTGAATCAATGAATAAGTAAGACCTCAGTAAGTCTAGGCTATACAAAAGATAATAGTAAATGCTGTTTGTCTCATGGATGGGGTGGGGAAAGAGCTGTATTATAGGTAGAAAAGGAAATTCAGACAAACTGTGTTCTAGATTGCTTTTTTTTTCCTCATTCTCATAGATGCTCGTTGCCAACATTGATTTGGGTCCTACCATTTTGGACATTGCCGGATATAACCCAAATAAGACACAGATGGATGGGATGTCTTTATTGCCCATTTTGGTGAGTATAAAGCCTTCAATCGGGCCTGACCCAAGACTCTGAAATAAATTCCAAGTTATATAAATTTAGACTTAAAAATGTAAATCTTAAACTATTAAATTTGGGGAACAAAGAATAGAATTTTTCTCTTTTCTATGGTGGGAATGAGTTTTCTAAAAAACTGATTGGACCACATATAAACACTTCTGTATCCTCTCTTCCCTCCCCCCCCCCAAAAAAAACTCTCATAAACAAAGTTAAGACAGGTGACAAACTGAGAAAATACTTGCAACATACACGAAAAAGGGTTCTTGGTCCTACTAGAGGAATTCTTAGAAAGCAAAGATTAATATCCCAGTAGAAAAATGGGCAAAAGAAGTAACTTCTCAACTCCTGGAGAAATTAGAAATGGCCACAGTAAATGCAGAAGGATTGCTCCAGTGCTGACCAAAGAAATGTCTAACTGAAGGAGGCCTTTATTCCCTACAGAACTGGTAAAGATTAAAAAGGTTTATGCCCAGTGTTTGCAGCTATCTGAGAACATGAAAACTACTCAGACTGTGTTCATAAAAGTATAGTCAGTATGAGCGATCAGGAGGCTAAAGGTCTTTACAAGAGCTTTCATTTCAGAACCCACACATTAAAGGGCACTTGGCTGGCTCAATCAATGGAGCATATGACTCTTGATCTTGGGATTGTGAGTTTGAGCCCCAGGTTGGGTATAGAGGTTATTTAAAAATAAAATCTTAAAATATATATATATATATATATATATATTAAGCGGTTCCATCTGGGAATTTATTCTAAAGAAAACAAAATTAACTCAAGAATATTTGAGCACCTACTGTGTGTCTGGCACTGCACAGACCTAAGGATCTATGGAAAGATCAGTATTAAAATGCACTGGCTATTTTTGGTGACTCATATAGGTGAGTCTTACTCATCTGTCTGAATCTGTAATAATGTATTACTAGCATAGTAATATATGTTATTAGCATATATTAGCATATGCTTCTTACTAGAGGATACATGTCACTCACATAAATTCTGAAACATAAGAAATACCCATGAACTCATCAACTCATTTGAGAACTCACATATTCCCGGTACTGGTGCACGTCCCTGTATGCCCCTCCCCATGCTACGTATCCACCCTTTGCAGGCCCTGTGGGAGTGATCATTTTCCTGAATTTCATGGCTACCATTCTCTGGATTTTATTTTTTTAGTAGTGATGTATGTACATATTCCTAAACAGGATGCCTTAGTTTTGATACTGTTTCACACTCTCAAAATTATATCCTACTGAATGTAGTCTGGGACTTTTTTCAATTCAGCATTGTTTCCAAACTGATACATGTTGTTCATCGATGCCTAATTTCTACTGTATGAATGCATTACAAGTTAATTATCTGTTTTCTTGTCAGTCGATAAACCTTTCTGTTAGGCTAGTTTTGTTTTAGGAACAGTGCTGTTAGAGCATTTTTATACACTTCTTCCAGTGAGTGTGTGTATCCACCAAGGTATGGGAACTGCATGCTGTTTGTTTCTGTAGACATTACCAAGTTATTCTCACAAAGAGGCTATCAATTTACCATCCCATCAGCAGTGTAGGAGATTCCCCTTTGTTCTATAGGAAATTGTCAGCTTAATTTTTGCCAGTCTAATGGTTAAAAAAGACCAAAATTTTATTTGGTCTTAGTGTGTGTGCATTTCTTTGTTTATTAACGAGATGAGTCATTTTTAACGGCTTACTTGACTTAATTCGTACAGTTCACTAAAGTTTACAGTTCAATAACTCTGGTATATTCAGCGTTGTACAACCATACCATAATCTAAATTTAGAACATTCGCATCACCCCAAAGAGAAACCCCAGATATGTAAGCAGTCTCTTCCCCATCGCTCCCTCCCGCGGCACCAGGCAAGCACTGATCTACTTTCTGTTGCTATAGATTTGTCTGTGTGGCCATTTTATATAAATAGAATCATACATAGTGGTCTATGGTGACTTACTTCTTATACTGAGTATACTGTTTTCAGAAATCGTGCCACAGCATGCATCGGTATTTCATTCCTTTTGATTGCCAAATAATATTCCATTGTTTGGATATGTCACATTGGCTTATCCGTTCCTCAATTGATAGGTTGTTTTCCCTTTTTGGCTACTATGAATAACGCAGCTGTGAACATTCTGTGTACAAATTTTTGTGCAGAAAGATGTTTTCAGGTCTCTTGGGGATATACCTGTACCCCTAGGAGTAGAATTACCGTTGCATATAACCTGTTGAGGAGCTGCTGGACTGTTTCTTAAGCAACTGCACCAGCAGGCTACAAGGTTTCAGAATTTGCTACATCCTTGCCAACGCTTGCTCCTCTTTTTATTACATCGTAGCGGGTGTGAAGTGGTATCTCCTTGTGGTTTTGATATGCAGTTCCCTAATGACTAATGATGTTGAACATCTTGTTGTATGTTTATTGGACATTTGTGTATCTTCTTTAGAGAAATGTCTATTCAGACCCTTGGCCTATTTTTTAATTGGGTTTTTGATCAGTGATCATTTTTCATTTATGCTTTTTGGGTTGCTTCCCTTATGAAGTGCCTCTTTTTGCCCATGATGTTCTCCCTGTCTGTGACTTCTTCTCTCTCTGCATTAAGGTATGAGAACACAGGAGTTAAATGTATAAATCCTCTCTTTTATGGATAGTGTCCTTTGTATCTTGTTTATAAAAATGTGTCTGAACCTTGAGATAAAAAATAATCCTTCTAGGTTTTCTTGGAATAGTTTCATACTTCTGCCTCTTACACAAAAGTCTTCAGTGTATCTAGAATTGATTTTTCTGGTATGGTATGAGGAAGCCAGTTTCATTTCTTTCTCTGTAAATACTCAGTTGCCTTTTCCATTCCACAGATCTGTCTGTCCTTGTATCAGTATCATGTTGTTTTGTTATAAAGCTGTGTAATTAAATCTGTGAAAGCACACCTCTCTCATGGTCCTTGTGAGGACCTAGCTATCTCTCTTGCATATGAACTTTAAGACCACTTTTCAGATGAAGTGAAAAAATTCATATTGGATTTTTGGTTGATATTTTACTGAATCTATAGATCAGTAAGAGGAAAATTTACATCTTTTAATGTTTTCCATACAAACTTCATACTGTATGTCTCATTTCTAGTTAGGAAAAAACCACTGTGCTCTGGGGCAAAAGCAGCAGTCGACCCTTGAACGACATGGGTAGGGATTGCGTGGGTCCGCTTCCATGCAAGTTTTATCCTGTAAACATTGGAAAATATGTTGGAGATTTGTGACAATTTTTAAAAACTCGCAAACGAATCACATAGCCTAGAAGTATTGAAAAAAAATTTTTTTAAAGGCTAGGTGTGTCATGCATGTGTAATTTACGTGTAGATACTATTTTATTACTACCATAAAATATATAGATTAATCTGTTATAAAAAGTTACCATTTTTCAAAACTTACACAGGGCACCTGGATGGCTCAGTTGGTTGGGTGTCCAACTTCGGCTCAGGTCATAATCTCATGGCTCATGAGTTCAAGCCCCATGTTGGGCTCTGTGCGGACATCTCAGAGCCTGGAACCTGCTTCAGTTTCTGCATCTCCCTCTCTTTCTGCCCCTCCCCTGCTTGTGTGTGTTCTCTCTCTCTCTCTCTCAAAAATATTAAAAAAAAAAAACAAACTTACACAGAACAAACATGGCATCGTTTGAGAGAAGTGTGAACAAACTTAACAGTGCAGTATTAAATCTTAATTGCAGTACATACTGTACTTCTGTATAATCTCCTAGCTACCTCCAGTTGCTGTTACCGTGAGCTCAAGTGTCATGAGTGTCCGCTTAAAATGCCATGTGATGCTAATCATCTCTGCATGAACAGTTTGTCTCTCTAGTAAACTGGGTATGGGGTAAAAAATTATTTCGGTTCTCGGGTATTTTTCATTGCATTTAGTATTATACTCTAAGCCTTGAATAACACCTTGGGACCCTTGCCCAGTGCCACCTGGGATCCTGGAAATGCTCCCAAGAAGCTGAAAGAAGTCATGACGTCATAGGAAAAAGTTGGATTGCTTGATATGTCCTGTAGATTGAGGTCTGCCACTGTAGTTACTCACCATTTTAAGATAAATTAATCCAGCATAAACACCACTGTGGGGCAGTGGGGAGAAATTTGTGAGGCCATTACTGCAGCCATGCCAGGAGTCATAAAAACTTTACACTTTTTGCAAAATACCTTTTTATCTTGTGTTGAAAATAGTAGCTTTTATGTGGGTGCAGGATTGCTATACGAAAGGCATACCTGTAGACTCTTAATGTGATCAAGAGAAAGCAAAGTCATTATATGACAACTTAAAGCAAAAGGAAGTTGAAGGATCTAGAGCTGGAGAATTTAATGTCAGTAAAGGATGGTTTGATAATTTTAGAAAGATGTGTGGCTTAAAAATGTCAGTGTAAAAGTAACAGAAGCAGCAGCTTCTGTCGACCAAGAGGCGGCAGATAGTCTCCCAGATGCCATTAAGAAAATCATCAAGAATGTCTGCCTGAACAGATGTTCCTATTCTGGAGAAAAATGCCATGAAGGACATGTATTAGGAAGGAAGAGAAGCAAACACCCAAGGTTTAAGGCAGGAAGGGACAGGCTAACTCCTGCTGTTTTGTACAAATGAAGCTGGGTGTATGATCAGGACTTCTGAGCCTTGAAGGGAAAAGACGAACACAGCCTTTGCTGGCAGCCTTTGCACAACAAGAAGGGCTGGACATTGAGAACCCTTTTCCTAGATTGGCTCCATTGATGTTTTGTTCCTGAAGTCAGGAGACAGTACCTTGCCAGTAAGGGCCTGCCTTTTAAAGTTCTTTTGATATTGGACAATGAGGATGGCCACCCAGAACCCCATGAGCTCAACACTGAAGGCATCGAAGTGGTCTCCTTGCCCGCAAACACGGTGTCTCTAAATCAGTTTCTAGATGAAGGGGTCATAGGACCTTGACCTTCAGGACTCATTACACGCA